CATCAAATTGGCATTCCACAATAAGAACACAGCATCCATGACAAAATGCCTGATTTTTACGAACTAGATAATCTAGATTAAATAAGGGCAAAATCAGAATAGGCAAACACACAATAGAACATAAAATAAATACTTGAAGTCCATGATAGCAGATTGCATTGCAATATTCAAGACTCTAAATGCGTTTACAGCCAGCATATATGCAAGGAGAATCATCTGAAATGGAGCAGGTGTCACCTTTTCTACCCATGAGTCTTTGTATTCCACAATAAAGGGATTTCGAACTCTGGAAATAAGCTCCATCTACACAGTAGAAACAAAGATCACCTTAGAACAGATCAAATGTAAATTACCAAATGAAAGACATCATTCACATAAGAAAGATGCCAACTATCAGAAACAGACATACAGGTAAAGGAACAATAATGTTTCTGATAAGTGATTTTAGCAAAAGCTAGATTGTTCACCAGCCTTTTGACTACAGTGACTATTGACATTTGACACGCAACGCATGACAACTAACTCAAAAATTCAGTAACTCGCTTGTTAACAAGCTCAAATGTACAATAGGTTTTTTGATAATGTGTATCTTTCATATCCAACAATAGCAGGTTGCTCAACAGAATCTTTGCTCCCTTATTGAGCCTTCCAAGCCAGGTTTCAACCTATTCCTACCAGGCCCTGGAGCAGTTGTTTCCATTACAATGGTCATCGGAGTAAAACAAATTAAGTAAAAAATATAAGAAAGCCTAACCTTTTCAAGTTTCATATTTCTTTAAAAATTATGGAAAAAATTTTCCATGTAATAAATAAATTTATGTAGAACGTTGCAATGACTTAGTCCAAAGTGAGATGTGAGGAATAGGCATTAAATACTGACCTCCTGGTGAGCTGATCTACGTGCCCTATCAGTCTGTCGAGCAAGACGAATCTTTTTCAAGACATATCTACTTAGTGAAGAAAAGTACAAAACCAATAAATACACTAGAAGTCATGTCATTCCACAAAGTTAGCTAATTTGACTAAACGTCCAACCAGAATTGAGTATGCACACAACATGTACATATAGAAGCAAGTATCCTTACTTCTTTCTTTCATGTTTATGCTTCACAAGAAGAGCTGAACCAAAGGAACCTTTACCAATCTGCTCCAGAATTTCGTACTGTTCCATGGATAGTATTACACCACTGCTTGAACTTTTCAAAAGGGTTTTGAGCTTCTTTTTCCTGGTGATCAGATATATTAGGTATTAGGATTTGCACCCATATAAACATGCAAAATGAAAAGATAATAAGAGAGTAGTGACTAGTGCTAGTGCAACCACACAAAGTATAAAATGAGAAGACAATTGAACTAACAAGAAGTGTATTGGAAGTAGGTCCCATGGGGCTTAGTTACAATTTACAAGTATAGGACTCGGCAAGGCTTCTGATTGATGTAGGTAAGGGGAGCAAAGATACATTACTTAAGGTCTGGGTTGAAAAGAGAATTGTTCTTGAGGAACTTAACATTTACAGACAAAAATGACATTGACAAAAGAGACACAGTAATTGTTAGGCTTAACACACAGTAAATATGGATTCGAGCAGCATAACATTGAGTTAGACCTTTCAAAAATCTTTAAGGAGTCAAATACAATATCAGAAGGAGAAAACACCACAGGAAATCTACACAAGAAAACAAAATGCTTCTACTTAAAATGGTAGTATAATAGATTCTAACTAGAGATCCAAAACTATTTGATTGATGAATCTATAACTCTAAACATTACACACTCCCTTGGGGCGCCCACAAATTGAGATACACACACTTACTTTTCTTTGATCACTTGGCTAAACAGAAATTTGAAACTCACTATTCTCTCCTAAAATCCTTCACATCTCCAGCCCCACACTACCAGTCTCTGTCATAAACAACCACTTGCTAATTCTATAAGGCATGAGAAGTTCAACATATGTTGATGGCTGATGATGCAAAAAATGTTTAAGTGAGAGAGGATGGGGGCTGGGGTGTTTATGCAATCAAAATTGCCTTTTACAACAGACCTACCACAAAAATCTTCCCCCTGTCCATGAAGGAGAGAATGCTCAATTAGTTAGCTGAGATTCATTCTAGTCAATCCCATGCGTAGGTCAAGCTTTTGTTCAGGAACAATTAATAAAATTCATATCATCAACAATTTCTGAATATGAATCTCCTCTATTTTCACTATTTGTTTCTCTATCACTCAAGCATCCAATGGTATCTTACTTCCCAAATCTTTAACTATCACAGAGAACTACATATTCTTTTTGGTTCGTGCTCAAATCTTAGAGAGAACCTCTTTATCCAAAGCATCTCTTTCCTTCTTAAATGCACGTGCTCTTATAAACTGTCCAGAAACAGCTCTCCTATAAAAGTAAAGTGAAGATTATAATATAAACTTTTTATCATCAAAATTACCTAAAATATATTTGCAATGATGCCGATTCAAAAATTATCTTACAACATTCAAAACTCAAAACATTCTTTTGGAGGAAAATGAAGCAAAAATTTCTTCCCAGTCCTTTCCCTTTCATTATAACTCTTCCAAATGATATGAAAGTTTCAATCCTTCATACATCATCCATTTCCATTCCCTCCCCTTCCGAGAAGGTCGTAAATGAAAGATAACCGACAAATACGAGCTTCCATCATTTACCTTCAAATAGATAAAGAAACGGCGTTTACTGTCATGACAAAGAAAGAGTGTCGAACGCCAAGTTCACCTATAAGGAATCATATCTCAAATAAAAATAAACAGGGATGAAATTCCTACAGCAATATATACTCCGTTAACCCTAGAGTATAACTAGGATACCAAAAACAAAAGCATGAGCCATAAAGTGAGCCAGAAATCCACTCTCGTTTTTAGTTTTTAGCATATACTGCGAGCACAAAAAACATTACTGGTTTCAGTTCACTTCTCCGATTCGGCTACCGACAAATTACCGAGTAAAAGACTTCTCAGGCAAGAAACAACGAGAAATCAGTACATCTGGTGAGAGTAATTTGAATTTGCAAGTAAATGCAACCAAGAATTTGAAAGAAACCGAAACCAAGGAAAAAGAAAGAAACCGGACTGCAAAAGACAAGAAAGGGGAAGAAAGCCAAGCTCGAAGAAACCAGAAAATTCCTCCAAAAGCGTCAATAAAAAGCAAGAATCAATACAGAAAACGTAACCAAATAAATATGTACGTATATACATAATGAAGAAAAGATGAAGAAGAAAGCACCTGAAACAAGAAAACCGTCCAACTTCTTGGCTACGAAAGACGAAATCAAAACCCTACCGTGGCCGCAACACGAGAATACCTTGAATCCGCAAAGAAATATGACACCAAGAATTTGAAATACACGGAAGATCACCTACTTTTGTCTCGAAATGGAGAGAGGTGGGGAAGGGGAGGAAGAAGGGAAAAGTAGGGAGGGGGAATTTTAAAATTCAAAAAAAGAAGAAAGGTGAGAAAGGGTCAGACGGCTTTTTCATTTAATTTATTTTTTAATATTTTTTTAATTTGTTTTTTATATTTTTTAATTTGACTCGAGAAGGACGGGAGTGCACGAGTGGCTGGCTGGGAGTGAGGGTTATGATTCTCTGCAACCGGGTGTAGATTTATAAACGTACTAAAACGTCGTCTCTTGCACAAAACGACGCCGTTAGGATACGTTAAAACGTCAATTGACACAGACAGGATGCTTTCCTTGGCCTGATTTTACCATATTGCCCCTGGCCTTGACGCCCCACCCACCAAGATTTGATTTTAACCCCTTGAAGATTTGTCCTTTTCATTTCGGCTTGTCGGTTTTTATTTTATTTTTATTTTGTTTTTACATGTTTGTTTTAAATGTAAATTGCTTTTATCATTTTATATATATATATATATTTTTTTTAATTCAATCATATACTTATACCATTATTCTCCTTATTTATAATTACTATTTTATTTTTAATAATTATTTTTTTATTTTTGTAAATTATATATACGTATATATATATATATATATATTACTTAAAAGCATATATTTTCCCATTTGGGCTTTTTAAGCTTTTTGGTTTCTTAAAATATAATTTAAATTTTTTGGACTTTATTATAATAGTTTGAGCCTTCTCCATCGTGTTAAGAACTTTCTTTCCAAGCCCAATAAAAATAGAATAAAAAAAAGTAATATATATATATAGTGAATTTTGGTTCCCCTATCTTATTTTTAAATAAAAATTAAATAATTAAAATATATGTATAAATTAAATAACTAAAATCTCCTTATTAAATATTATTATTATTAAAATTTTATTATGTATTTAAGAGTTATTAGTAATAAATTAGTGAGTATTTAATTTAATAATTACATAGTAATAGAGTAGTGATATCTTAATTATAAATTAATAGGCTTTTAATTTTAGTAATTATAAATTAATGGGTTAATAATTTTTTAAGTGGGTTAGTAATTATTTTTTTAATTGAACATTTAGACAAATTAAATGATACATATACATTTAATATTATAATAAAGATTATTAAAGTTATACGAGTTAAAATAGAAAAATAATTGAATATACATTAAAAGGGTTTAATAATAAAACTAATACTAATAAATTACAGTAGTAAAAAAGTTCAAAAAAATTAATCTATCAATATACATATAATATATATATATATGTATATTATTGTGTTATATATATATGTGTGTGTGTGTGTGTGTGTATAAACAATTCATGAACATGGGTCTATATATCTAAGTAAGTAGAATATTGGATATGAAATTTTGACATGATTGATGGTGATAAAAATGAAATCTTTGCACATCTAGTTTTTGATCTTTATATTTGGGGCATGCATATATATATATATATATATATATATATCTATATATATATCTTTGTGTGTGTATTTGTTTACTTTTTTTCATGAATTGTGATATGATATTAACCATTACTAATTCATTATTATTCTTTTGGTGACAATTGAATGCACCTTTTGCTTTTTACATCTTTGAATATGTTTCTTTTAGCATGCACTTGAAGGATCATTTCAATAATATATTATCAAAAATCTACATGAATATATTATCAAAGATACATAGATATATATATAGATATATATATATGTGTATATATGTATGTGTACTTATCAAAAATTACTTAATTTAATACCAAATGTGGTTTCAATCGTGTTGTACCCCCTTTGATTTCGTTCATATCGTATCATAATTTATATTCATGTATTATTTATTATTAAATTTTTAAACTTTCATTTGGAAAAAATATGTATTTACAATTTGTGTATATGTATATCTAGTCACTAACCACTATTTAAATATTATTACGCTACCTTTTTTAAAAAAAATGCTATAAATTTAAATTTTATTTTTTATTATATTATAATTAATATTTATATATTAATATCTATAATAGTTCACGACTTGTGAATTTTCTATCTTTATGTAGCACTGCTTCGTTAGGCTTTCCCATTGTATTAAATTTTTTATTGTTATTTTTTATTGAAATTTGAGTCGTGTTTTTGTCCCAATATATCTGATCATCTTCTCATGTCAGCTATTGATTATTGTTTTTATGAGTTATTATCTCACAAATTATCTAATCAGACACGAGCCTGAGATTTCGAGCGAATCCTTCATTTTGCTCATCAGTTTATGAAGTATTAGCAGTCGTTTTTAGTTATTGTTCCCTTCTTAAAAGCACGTTTTTACGCGTTATTCACGTATAAAGTATAAATTTCTTATTAATGTACATATATATATATATATATGAACGTGAAGTGCTCTTAATGTTAAGTCCGTTACTCATATGTGAAGTAAAAAATTTTATTAGAAAATATATATGTACGAAGAGTGAATATAGACTTCTAATAAAAACAGCTTCATGATATCTACTAACTATTTAATAAGACGAAAATCTAAGATTTTAGGCAGATCCCTTATTTTGCTCCTCAGTCTACGAGATATTAGCAGCCGTTTTTAATTATTATTTATCTTTAAGTTTTTATGCGTTACTTATATGTAAAATATAATTTTTTTATTAATGTATATATATATATATAAATATATAATGCTTTAAAAGGTAGGTTCTTATGGATTATTCATATGTGAAGTATAAATTTTTTATTAAAAAATATATATGTATGAAGAGTGCATATAAATTTATAATAAAAACAGGTCGCATTACATCCACCAACTATTTATTCATCCGCAAGAATGAGATTTCTGACGGATCCCTCCTTTTGTTCCTCAATTTACGACCTGTTAGCAGTCGTTTTTAGCTATTGTTCCCCTTTTAAGGATAAGTTTTTACGTTGGGAAATATATATATATATATATATGAATGTGGAGCAGGTACTCATTCGTGAAGTATAAATTTTTTATTAAAAAGTACGTATGTATGAAGAGTGCATATAGACTAGTAATAAAAACGACTGCATGACATCCACAAAATCTGTTTTTCACGCATGCCCTTATAATAGTATCGTCGGTGTATCAAATCCAAAGGTGATAAAAATGAGGGTGCATAACCTGATGATCATCGTATCTACACACATACATACATACACATACATATATATATATATATATATATGTGAATCACGCACACCTGTGGGCTCACGCGCATTTGTGGACTGATTCAGTTGATGGCGTAAGTACAGTAGAAACATCTCTGAATCAAACATGTGTTGAAGATGCTCCATGTGAAACCAAATATAAATTTCAAGGAATCCCAGGTGGGGTTGATATGGGAATATATATATATATACACACACACACACACATGCATACACATATAGAACAGTCTCTTTAGGAGATTCATGTACGCATATTCATGGATGGACCCCCAGAATATATTACAGAATACGACACTATATTATCAACTATTCTCTAATCCAGTGTCCTGTACTAATTTACTCAGCTGTAAGTTCAAGTTTTAAAATGTATAAAGTAAATACACACACACATATATATATACATACACACACACAGACACGAGAGAAAGATGACGGGGAATAATAATCACAAGTTAGAGAGATGACGAGAAGCTTAAAAAGGGTCTGGAATCAAAGATTTTCAAGAACCAGGACAAAAAATGAGGCTTCTCTTGACCAGGCAAGAAATCATGGGTGAAGATGATGAGAACTGGTTTCACATGCTTTATGTGGTGGAGAGAAAAAAAAAAAAAAAAAAAAAAAGGTTACAATAATAATAATAATAATTACAAATTAATTATAATAATAATAATAATAATAATAATAATGCATGATAATTAAATTTAATTAATTAGTATAGAATATAAGTGGGTGTTTCTTTCACGTAGCTTCTTCTTCCCATCTCTTTCTCTCCACAACTCTTTGTCTCTCCCTTCATATTTTGTCCCTATTCAGGGGAGGTTACATCGGATTCGGAAGAGAACATTGTTTTCTCTTAAAAACGTAATAGTCTCGTCGAAACTTAACTCAATTTGGTCATTACAGTTCTATTAGTATAGTAGTAAGTTATCGGTTCTGCCGAATTAAACATGATTAGGTAATATATTTATAAGGTAACGAACTTTGTGTCGTTTAGCGAGGTTCTAATTCGCGTTCTTCAAATAAAATATAGGATTTCATAGACATTCTTTACTATTATTTAATTAACTAATATAGTACATTTTATGTTAATATTTAATTAAGTCATCAGATATGTAATATATTGTAGAATAATATATTTATAATGTAATAATGTAACACCCCAAAACTTTTTATTTTTATTTTTATTTTGTATTGAAATTTTATTGGATTTTATTTTATTTTAATAGTTAATTTATTTTGTAATAATTATATGTTTAATTTAATTTAATTTAATTTAATAGAAATAAAAATAATAATGATGATAAAATATGGTAAAATTATTTTTGAGATTTAATTGAAAATAATTTTGAGAAAAATGAGTGAAAATTTGGATTCTGGGGGTATTTTTGAAAAAAAAAATCACCGCCAGTAAGTCTCGATTTTTCGTGATTTTTTGGCCCACCGAGGGCCCTATGTGTGTTTTATCACAGGAATCATACAAGTTTGGCCGAATTCGGCTGAAAACGGCTAACTGAGTGGATCGCCAATGCGGGCAGCA